CATGTGGTAAAAATATGCAAATTTTTTGGCGGGAAACGATCTCGGGAACAGTTGCCCGGAAACTCGGGAACAGTTGCTCGGAAAGCGCCGCACAGCAAAAACGCATAAAAAGGCGCCAGGCGGCAAAAATATGTAAATTTTTTGGCGGGAAACGATTTCAGGAACAGTTGCCCGGAAAATCGGGAACAGTTGCCCGGAAAGCGCTGCAATAGCGCTGCACAGCAAAAACGCATAAAAAGGCGCCAGGCAGCAAAAATATGCAAATTTTTTTGCGGGAAAACGATCTCGCGAACAGTTGACCGGAATTTCGCTGCAATAGCGTTGCACAGCAAAAACGCATAAAAAGGCGCCATGCGACAAAAATATGTAAATTTTTTGGCAAGAAAACCATCTCGGGAACAGCTGCTCGGAAAGCGCTGCACAGCAAAAATGCATAAAAAGGCGCCATGTGGAAAAAATATGCAAATTTTTTAGCGGGAAACGATTTCGGGAACAGCTGCCCGGAAAGTCGGGAACAGTTGCCCGGAAAATCGGGAAAAGGGGACAGCAGCACCAGTCGTCTCACTGCGGCGATGGGACTTAGATGCCGGAACAACAACGGCAGCAGAAGCAGTAGCAGCAAAACAGAGATAGGGGCAGCCGATGCAGCGCCATGGATGAGGAAGGGGGCAAGGAGGGGACGAACGATGATGAAAGAGGACGGAGGAACGGAGGAGGATCGATGATGAACGCTGTGCACTGCTGCTGCTCCAAGGACCCTTCTACTTGCTCAGCTGTTTTAAAATTCCGGAAAAACAGGAAAGGAGGAGGGGGAAGGGGCTTCGCTGCCCCATCATCCCTTGCTGGGCCCCCCTCTCTTCGCCGGCACAGTGGCAGGCAATATTGACAGCCCTCACACATACCCACACACACACACACACACCAAAAGTACAGGAAAATCGGAAGATGACTCAGTCCAACACAAAACAGCAACGGAAAAAAGGAAAGGGTCTCCTAAAAATCAATTTAAAGCGCAACAAACTCTCCCACAAATCCAGGCATCGCAACGCACATCTCCCAATGAATGGAAGAAAATTTGAAGCCCATTTTTTTCATGAATTTTAAGCTCAATTTCTTTTGCATTGATCGCAAAGCTTATTTAAGGGAGTTCATTACGGCCATTTCAGGATTTTCTGCGACAAGCACAATGTCGTCTGCGAAAATAAGCATTCAGAGCACTCAGTGCCGATTCAAAAACCTTCTGTGTTGTTTGAAAGGAGAATCAAAAAAAAAACACGTGTCATATGGAAAATCCAGATGCTACTGAGAGAATTGCAATTAGAAATCACTGTAAATTTTGCATAAAGGAAAATGAACAATTCCCATTTAACGGTCGTTCTTTGAAAATAACCTAGAGCTGCTCAGTGAGCAATTTTCCCGCCAAAACTTTCAAATGCCCGTATATAAGAACCACGCATACTTGCAGGTTGAATTTGAAACCTTTAAGTTGTATTTGGACAAAGAAAATTGTGTTAAAATTCCGACGCCACAGCCTTCCTGGTTCCCGAGCTAGCAATTTTCCCGCCAAAACTTTCACATGCCTGTACAGGTGCATTTAAAATTCATCACGCACACCCGAGGGCTGAATTTGGAATCTTTAAGTTGTATATGGGCGAGGAAAATCACCCTAAAATTTCAGCATCCTAGCTAATCTGTCCCCCACGTTAGCAGCTTTCTCACCAAAATTTTCACGTACTCGTACGCGAGGCGCAGACATGCGTAAAGGTTGGTATCCCGGCCCTGGGGTGGCATTTGTCCGGGGAGCGCACTGGCAATGTTTTGGGGACAAAATCCGCTTGGTTGCCGAGTTGAAATATCAAGGCAGACACACATACACCCATACATACACAAACACACACAAATACATACGTACATACATATACATACGCAGATGCACACATACACATAAGTACACACATACATACACACGTACATATATACATACATACACATACATACACGTTCACACATACATACGTACATACATACCTAAATACATATACACGCACACATACGCACACACACGCACCCACACACACACGCACACACACACACAAATACACACATACACAAACACTATAAGTCGTGACAATATGCGTTTTTGCATTTGCATATATGCGAATAAACAAAACAAAAAGTAACGTCGCAATTTAAATCGTCTAAAATTTTGCAATCAAAAAAGTAGCACGCCGAGCAACAAAACAACTGCTCCAAGATAATCTTATTTCCCGACATTCTGTACGGGGAGCACTTCCCGTGCTACCAGACACAATAACGTTCAAAACAACTGACACATCCACATAAGTCCTCTAACGCCCTTCAAACTGACCAACGTCCATACATACATACATACATACATACATACATACATACATACATACATACATACATACATACATA